CACTTTTGGGAAGCTGGGATGATAGGGGTGAAATCCTGGCCTCAGAGACATTGGTGGAGATTTTGTCCTTTCAAAGACAGCTAAGATTTTACCTAAAAGGAAAATGTTAGTAATGGAAAAATTGTCCAGTCCTCCAGGTGATATGCATTATTAGTGGGTCTGTGTTCTGCAAACCACTAAAGAAAGCCTTCAGCAAGCTTTCCTAATACTCATTTTATCATTTCAATTTTTTTAGCCTTAAAAGAAATGTATTCTAAAAGAGGGTTTGCCTGTGGAAGTATTTTACAATGACACGCCTTTGGGCAATTGCAATGTCCTTGTATGATAGATTCTTACTTTTCATACTAAAAAAAAATCAGAAAAGAAACAAAGGAAGAAATCAACCATTTCCTTGGGTTTATGGGAATGTAATTTGTTGATTAAAGGCACCAAGACAGGCTGAAACCAAACCCTGCCTGGGAGCAGAGCACCAGTGTTGTAGAGAGGTACAGCAGGACTGGGTGTGCTTGGGGAGGGAGCTGGGTGGGATAGGCAGGCACACCTCCTGCCATTGCCAATTCCCCTGGAATCACAGGTCCTTCCCTGAGCTGGAAGGACCCATGAGGATCACTGAGTGCAACTCCTGGCCTTGCACAGCACAACCTCAAGAATCACACCCTGTGCCCGAGAGCATTGTCCAAACACTCCTTGAGCTCTGTCAGCCTTGGGACTGTGGCCAATTCCCAATCCCCTTTTCACAGCAGAAAATAGGTGGGCTTGGCACCACTGAAAATGACTTGATGTATGTTATATTGATGTGAGGATCTTGAAACACTGTACAAGTGTTCATTTACTTGGCAAAAATTAGTATGTCCAAACAAATCTTGGTACCATTTTCTTGGTGCATTAATGGCTTAGCTATTATACAGGCCAAGAAAATTGCAAAACTGAGACTAAAATCTAAGAACCATGCTTTCTCATTTCCTCTGTAACCCCCAAATAACATTTTATTCCTTTTTAATAATTTATTTTAGCTCTGTTCTTATAATTTAATTGAAATTGCACAATGTTTAAAATGTAAATATAGCTATAAAAAGGGATAAACAAGTTCTACTGAACAGGAGCTTTTGCAAGCTAAAAGCATGATTGAGTATAACACAATACAATACAATAACAAAATGACATTCAGGATTTATAGCTGGATTGCTTAATTGAGCAGAAAAACTTCTCCTTTTACTCCCCCCTCTCCCCCTTGACATGCAAGCCTGCAGGTACAGTTACAAGAATATATGAATGTACTATCAGATAAGGGAAAAACTTTAGGGCTAATTATTTGTGCAGTTATTAGTGCAAATGTGGAGCTGCCTGTTTGTATGGTGGTGTTTATGTTTCTCAGTATGTGCTTGAGGTTGTACTTTCTGCCCTTGTGTCTCCACAGCATTTGATAATACAGTTCAAAGTGACCCATGTGAGCATTTTTTGGGATGGTGGGAATGGCTGAGTGTTCCTGTTCTGTGTAGACATAAAATGCACCCACATCCTTGTTTCACACTGAAGATTGTTCATGGTGAAATTTGTCAAGGTTTTAGACACCTTGAGGAGTTTGGAATGTTTTACATGCATAGAATTTTGCTTTCCTAGTGTAAGGGAATACCCTGTTAAACCATTAAATAGCTAATTTCAAACTGTTTTATGCTTCGTGTTTGTGGCAATTAAAATTTGTTCAGAAAGGAAACGATAAAGTTCCTAATGTTTGAGGCAGGCAGGAGCCAGATTTTCTTGTCTCCTAGCTGCTGTACCTCACTCGTATGAAGTTCTTGAAATATTGTGTTCTGCTGTCCTCCCATTTATGAAAGGGGCTTTTTAGCATGGAATCTTCCTAAATGGTACAGAGATTTAATAGTACTGCTATAAGTGCAAGGAAGAGCCTTTTTATTTTCTGTGCCAGCTGGGATTAATGTAGGTGACCCTAAAAGATGTGAAAAGATGATGGTGGAAAATTTGGCTTTGGAAAGAGACAAGAAAGATGACACATTTCATACAGGGTAGCTAAATCATAGGGTTGTAAATCATTTGAAGCAGGACTGGTAGTCAGAAAGGAGTATGAACTCACATTTTGGGAAGGGTGAGGTAGGATGACTGTAGATTTTTGGCAGGAGACCGCTTGAAGCACACAAGAAGTGGGCTGACCTAGATGCCTGATAAGAGGCTCAATGAAATGAAAAGTGGGTGGACTTGGAGAAGAACTGGGTGGATCTGATTGTTTTGGCACTTAGGTATTTGATGTTTGATTTCCAGGGCAGCAAAATTTTAATCACCTATTGTTCATTATTGGTTGGTTTCTTGGTGGTATGACTTGCACCTCTCTTTCCAAGTGGTTGCTGGGATGTGTGGAGCACAGGAGAGGCTTTGTGCTGCAGCTGGGCGGGAAAGAAGTGTCCTGGGTGGCAGGTGCTCTGGAGGAACATTTCTGTGGAGGAGGTTGTGTGAAGGGACATCTGAGGAGCAAAGTAAGGAGGCATTGGGAGGAGCTCCTTTGTTCACAAGGGATGTCAAGGTTATGTGGTTTTGGAATGGAACCTCAGCATTCTTTGTAAACAAATATATTGCTGGGCTCCACTGGCAGTAAAAATATCTAGCTTCTCTTAATGATACCCGTCACCAACTTTGCCCCTCTTCCTGCTGCTGCCCAGGCCTTGTGTGCTGCTCAAAAAGGCAGTGAAATTATGATGCCATTAAGAGAGTAAAAGCTGAGCAGCTTGAGTGTCTTAGATTGAAGACATCGCCTCTAGCTTAGTTTATTCAGCTTTTTGAGGTATAAAATACTCCATAGATATATAAATAATACCGAGTGTGTGATAGACATCAGCAGTTGGGTCTTGTATTTTTTAACAAGTCACACACACACACACGTGCAGGTCCATGTATGGGAGAGTCCGTGTGCTCATGTGTTTATTCAGGTATTGTACTTAATAATATTGTCTATGATGATTGGGTGGAAATCTCTGTTGGTAGGAAGAGGCAAAATACATTTCAGATGGTATTTTTGAAACTCAAGGCACAAAGCTAAGATAAATGATATTATGTAGCTGCTTTCTTTAACAAACTAAAAAGCATCTTATGTTATGAAAGCGACCTAAAATTCATGAAACCCACTGCAATTACTTTCCTATTATTTTCTTACACTGTTTTTTGTTCTTTCAGAATGCACCTGTATCTCAGTAGTAAATCTGAAATAACTTGTCACTGGGAACAGTCCTTCTAGGACTATTACACCTGTACAGCTATCCCTTGACTCTTGCACTACCTCCGAAAGTTCCTAGAAACCTTTGGTGTATTTACCTTTAATCTGTGTTACGTAATCAAGGGAGCTTGCAGGACATAAAGGCTTATGGAGCATATATGATTCCTATCTATGAACCCAGGCACCATTAGACTTTTCTGCCAACATACCTTGCTTATCAGTTATACCTCTGCTGCTTCTCAGTCCTGCTCCTCCCACCCCTGTGTCCTTCCTCCCATTTCACCAGAGAAGGGACAGCTTCAACTCCACCAAATGGTGCGGGAGAATGAGAGGAAGAGAGGTGCAGAACCCTACAGGTTCATACTTCGACCACTTGACATGAGGCAGAACTTTTTTTCCTGTGTAATGACCGAGCACTGAACAGATTGCCCAGAGAGAGTGTAGAGTGTCCTCACTGGAGATACTCCAGAGCTGTCTGGGCACAATCCTGTGTCCTGTGCTCTGGGATGGCCCTGCTGGAGCAGGGAGGTGGGACCAGCTGCCCCACTGTGGCTCCTTCCACCCTGACCCTTCCTGGGATTCACTGTGATGACAGTGGAGAGTTGAAACCGCCTTTACATTCCCCCCCTGCCTCGGTGGATAAGCACACCTTATCTCCTAGGCAATGCTTTAGGTAGCTCCAATTCTTGTTTAATGAGCCTTTGTACGCTGTAGCTGTATACACCTCTGTACACTGTGAGGCCTTAATGGCTTAAACACCTGCTGGTCTGTGAGGTTGGCTGCCTGTGGCACTACGATGAGGAACTGCCCTTGCTTGCCCTGCAGTGAGTGGAAAAACTTCCAGTGGCTTCAGTGGGAGAATGACTGGGCATCTGCGACAAGCAATCCCATGAGCATTGTTGCTTTCGGCCCTTAATTCTGCAATTACTGAATACAAAGGGTCATACATAAAGTCCAGGGGTGTAATTACTATTTTGACTTTCCTGATGATTTATCTTAGGCACTACCAATGAACTGTACAGCTTAATTACAGCAGTCACTTGGAGGGATTGTGCAAACCCCAGGTATTTATTGTGTTCAGGGAAGAACTAGCTCAACTAGAGATCATTTCATATGTGCAGGGATCTCCTTTGTCATTTATGTGCTGCCAATGTATGGAAAGCTGAAATGCAATTGTGTCGCGTGTGCCAGATGCTGAATGACAGCAGAGAGCACAAAGCAGTATTATTGTCTGCAGTCCAGCTGAGGAATTAAGCCCCTTGAAGTTTGTTAAAGCTTCTCTGATAGTTCCATGCTTAAGTGGCTTGAATATTGGCACCATAATTTGGATGAATATTTGCATAGCTTGCACATTTTATGGTATAATGCAGTAAATATAATACAATAAATTCTGCCTTTGTCTGAAAAGCCTGGTCTGGTGCACTTTGGCCTCCTATTCAAACCTACAAGCAAGTGATCTTAAAAGCTGCTGTGGTGTGGTGTGACAGTAACTGCAGGTTATACACTGCAGGTTATGCAGGAGTCCAGGATCTTTTGCAGCCAAGCCTGTTGTTTGGTTTCACACATCTCAAATGGATTTGTTAGCAGGTTACAAAGGTCTTGAATTGCTGCTTGTTTAACACAGCCACCTCACAGGTGTCAGTAACAAACCAGCAGCTGCTTTTGGCTCGCTATAAAAGTGGGATTTGAATATTTTGAATTGTGTGTCAGAGGAAGTGGTCTGTGTTCGAAGAGCCTCTTCTGTTCCCCTCCACAGAGCGTGCTGAAGTCTTGCATCATGTACAATGTGCAGCTCAGCTCTCCTTACGCACGGTAACGAGCACCTCCAGAGTAAACAAGGAGCTGTTAGACTCCCTGAAGGTCATGCAGCTGGAATATGGGCTGAATGGCATTATGTGGAAATGCTGGGGATTAAATTGTTAATATAATAACTGCTAAATAAACAAAGCAATACGTTCCTCAGATTTTTGTCCTGTGCTATAAAAAACAAAGGTGTGAGAAGCTGAGGTGCTGAGCAAGGGCTCAGGAGATGATGTTCCTGCTCTGTCATGCCACTGCCACGTGCCAATCAACCTTTCTCTGCTCTGATTTTGTGTCCATAGGATGGAAGCGGCACCAGTTCCTTTTTCCTTTGTGTTCTCTGATGTCTTTGGTTCCTGAATGCTGCCAAACTCATTTATAGTCCTTACATTTGTGCCTTTAGAGAATGCTCAGTGGCAAGTGATTAATATTAATTGTTGAATGTCTAATATTAATTGTTGAATGACTGTTCTCTGCAAGGCCAGTGTGTTTGAGCACTGCAGCTGGCTGGCTCAGAGAGTGTGCAGGATCTCATTTGTTTTGCTCAGCACCACCACCTTGTTTTCTATCTGACTTGCTACAGTGACATGCCATGGTGAACGTTTTGCATTTCACCCACAGCATGGTTGTCACAAGTTGTCACTAAGGAACACAGGAGGTTCCTTTTGTGTTATGGTTAGCTTTTCAATATGCCTCCATCCTGAATGTGCTTAAGGTCAAACCTTATGGGTTCCTCCTTAAAAACCTTTGAGGGATTTTATTGAGAGTGAGAAGTACTTGGCATTTAAATCCTTTGGCAAAGCTTCTGTTAAGGTAGTTCTTTCCTGTCAGCTCTCTGTGACTCCAGGATTTAGGTGCTATTTATTGGAAGCTTTGGCCTATTAGAACATGAACAGAGCACAGGATGCCTGCAAGACTTTTCCTGAGTCCTGCTTTCTGAACCTTACTCTGTTCTTGTTAAGCCTGGCCTAACCTAAGCTGTGAAGAGCACAACTCCCTAAGGCCTCCTGCTCGCTCCTGAAGCTGTTTATTCAATTCCCCTTACTTACTGACACCTCATGTTTGCATCTAGGTCTGTTTTGAGATTGGAACTGCTGACTTCCAAAATTCTTTGTCATTTTTGCTTCTGGGAGCTGCAGCCACAGTTTGTCATCTTGCTAGAGGTAGAAAATTCATGGGCATGCTGGGGGATCGGCCTCGCTGTGCTCGTGGCTGGAGGCAAAGCCAACTTGAGTGAAAGCTGAATGCATCTATTCTGTAACTTGGCTGAAGCCAATTTGTTCTTTTTCTGGCAATTTCCAACAAAAATGCTGCTAAGAAAGTTGCTGTAAAGTGGCAGGGCAGTAGCGTGTCCTTAAACACGATTTTCCTGAATAATTGTTTGAAATGGGCAAATTATTTACAGGATACTTCCTGAAAGGAAGGTGAATTTATGTCTAGGAAGTTCTGAGATAAGTTTAACAATTCATATTTTAAATTTTATGGTTTATTTAACTTCTAAAATATTGCAAGAAATATATTAGATTTGTCATCTAGGTTTTCTCTTTTGGTTTAAAGAAATGCTTATTCATTTTAGCACAGGAAAGTGTGGTCTTGGGAGTTTTGATCAGAGCTAACCTTAATTCCATATGCCTCCTCAGAGGAAAAAGATGAGAAATGGTGAAGGAGAAAATCTGACAGCTGCAGAGAAGCAAACTGTTTCTAATTGAGGGTTAATGGCTTTGATGAAGGAAAACATAAATTTTACATGGAACATCAATGTATGTGGTGTGACAAAAGGGATTTCACTGGATTTAAATGATCTGAAACACAGACCATTAGAAGAAATCCTCTCTCTGGAAGGAAAATGTAGACTTTCTTGGTTATGCTTAGTAACTGAATAACAGAGTTTCTACGGTATTTTTTGTATTACACTGGAGAAATGTGGAAGCTTTTGGATCTATGGTGTGTCTGTGCATTTATAAGCATTGATGGCATGTTTTAGTGAGTGTGGTAACTTTTGTTTTTCTAGGTTAGTGGATGACCGGTGTGTGGTCCAGCCAGAGGCAGGTGACCTTGCTAATCCTCCAAAGAAGTTCCGAGGTCAGTAACCGGGGATCATTTCTCTTTAATGACCAAATGATGCAGTTCTAACTCCTTGGGCACTTTTGTCATGTAACTTCCCAGAGGGTTTGTGGAGAGAGCAAAATACAAAATTTGTAGAGGAAGGAGAGGCAGGTGGAAAATATGGTGAAAGGGGCTGAATTTTCCTGTAGTACAAGAGCTGTTTACTCTGTTCTGTACATTGAACACTGATCCCCTGCTCTGTGACAAACTCTTTGCTCAAGCCCTGCTGTTTCACTGTAAATGGGAAAGAAACTTGAGGTCCAAAGCTACTTGAGCTGATGGACTGTTTATTTTTTTTTTCAGGATAAGATACCATTTTAAGGAGTACTCCCAAATATTTTCTCAGCTTTTTGTTTTGCTTTTGCTTAAAACTGTATCTGTTTTTTTTCAACTTGACTTTGTAGATTTGGATAATTCTGCTTTTTTGCTTATTGGAAAAAAATACCAATGCACTGACAACATGTAGTTTTTACTTCTTGACTGCTAAAAAAGTACTCTTTAACTGTGCCAAAGCAGAGCCTTACTAGCCTGATCCAGGCCTCTTTTGGCTTAAAAGGGCTTGGATTCACACTGGTTCTGAGATAAAGAGAATCCCTTGCCTGATTTAGAGCAAGGGAAATGTGTTTCATGACTGTATGTATTTTCAATGATCTTTACGATCCCTTCCAACACCAACCATTCTATGATTTTCAGGGGTTGCACTGACATGCTTAACCTTAGTATTTTATTTGCAGTACTACTGCAAAAACTAAAGCATTTAAAACATTGGGAGAGTGAAGTTCTACTTTCCCAGGGAGTTCAAGACTTTTTTCCCATTATATATTCAGGAAACATCAGCAGTTGGTTGCAGTTCCAGCTGTGAGCATTCAGCGCACTGGCAGATACTGGAAACTGAGAAAGTGAGGATGCATACTTAGAAACTAACAGTAATAAATTTCAGTCACTTGTGTGACTGAATAACTTTAAAGCAGAGCTGGGGGATAGCATCCAGTGTGGCTTTCAGGCTACTTAACTGTGATTTTACCCTCTCACTTGTCTGCAAGTACATATGTAACTCACATTTTCCAGGTTGTGCAAAATATCATGTGGGGATCCTTTGAACGATATTTTTCTCACTGGACTGTTTCTAAAGTCGAACTTATCCAGGTTTCTAGATGAGACCAAGGTCACAGGGAAAGATTTGTGATAGGATGATTGAATACACCCAAATGCCTACAACTAAGGATCCCAACAGAGCTTAAAAAGACAGCCATAACTTTCTAGTTATGTCTACACTGTCTAGCGTTTGAGGGCTTGATTTCATAACTTCAGTTATAAAGAGTTCTTTTCTTGCAGCTCTGTGTTGTTAATTTCTAACTTCAAAAGGCAAAGAAAGAAAAAGTTTATAGGTTTCTGTGTTAATGATTTGGGCACTTTGATGCAGGGTGGAAGCTGATTGAACTCCCAGCACTAATGATTTTCCACCAGTGGTGGTAGCACATGTGGAGCAGATGTCACAGGGGGATGGGACACTGACAAATGCACAGCTGTTTTCTGCTGCTGGGGAAACCAAGGACTGTCTCCTGAGTTACATCCCAGCTTCTGCAGGGGAGTGGTTTCCATTAGTTGTGGACAGTTTTGGCTCTGTCCCTTATTGTAACCTCTGTCTGTTGCTTGCATGGCACATCCCTTTGTCTCCAGTTGCCTCTGCTCCCTCTTCTCCACAGCATCAAATCTTTCCTTTCCTCTAACTTAGATCCTCCTCTTTTTGGGGATTCCCTCTTCTCCATCTCCCTCCCTGCCCCAAAACTTTTTAGTAGCTACTCTCCTCCTTCCTGCTGCTGCTTAGCATTCTTTTTTTTTTCCCCCTTTGAATTCTTGCTTCCAGTCACTCCTTATCTCTCTCTATAGTGCCACACCATAGCTTAATTTTGGGACTGCTGGCATGGTGGTAGCATGCAAATTTGGATGAGCTGTAACAAAGTGATTTGGGTTGGAAGGGACCTTAAAGCCCATCTCATTCCACCCCCTGCCATAGGCAGGGACACCTTCCACTATCCCAGGTTGCTCAGAGCCACATCCAGCCTGGCCTTAGACACTCAGGGATGGGGCAGCCACAGCTTCTCTGGGCAACCTGTGCCAGGGCCTCAGCACCCGCAGAGGGAACAAAGTCTTCCTTATATCCAATCTGAATCTACCCTTTTTCAATCTGAAACCATTCCCCCTTCTTGTGTCACTCCATGCCCTTTTAAAAAGTCCTTCTCCATCCATCTTTCTTGTAAGTCTCCTAAAGGTACTGAAAGGTGCTATAAAGTCTCTAACACCTGTAGGAGAAACTAATTAGTGAAAAAGTAATTGTCACATTAATTTATGCAACCCACCTTCTATAACAGCATGGCTATTGTGTTAGGGACATTGAATATAATTTTCCTGCTGCTTCAAGTATCCATAATCAATGTGTGTTCAGGAGGATGGCTGCAGGAAAGATTAACCTATCATTTGGATGTTTTCTCCTTCATCCTTTAAGTCAAATTTTAAGTGTGAGAATAGCAGGAGCTTTGCTGAGAGCCCAGAAAACTTGCTGTCTAATTGAGATTTTGTGCCTTGAACCATGAAGGTGTCTCTACCATGAAAGCAACCAAAAGCACATCTCTGCCATGCTTTGCTAAATTTCTTAGCTGTGCTCAGATCCCTGAGGCAAAGGAGTTGCTAAATATTGTTCTTATAACCAAGAATCTAAGCAAAATCCATATTTTTCTCCCCAAGAATCTTCTGGGAAATAGCTTTCAATTACAGCAGCAAAGTTAACAAACCAAACAGAAACTGCTTTAAGTAGGTTCTTGACATGAAAGGAAGACTTAGGCATGAATGATTAATTGAATGATTAGACATAAGCAACTGAAAATAGCATCTAAGAGCAGGATGAGTAGGGCCTCTTCACTAATAGGAAGTGCTGTCTGCATGGTTTACAATGTTTTTATCACAGATAGCTGAACTGGCGTTGATTTGAGGTTAGAGCACGACCTGTGAGCCAAAGAAGTATGAGAAAAACAAGTTTCTAACAAGATGTTTAGATTTCAAGGACTGACTCTGAAAATTAATATCAGAGAAGACTGGGTTTTCTCTTTTTTGGTAATATTTTGTCAACCCTTTCCCCAGTGGGAGGGACAAAAAAGAAAGATTGTGGTTTTGAACTGCTTGTATCTCCCCTACAGGATTCACTCAGAGATCAAATCAAGGTACTGAGCTGTTGGCCTGAACTGAAACCCTATGTAAAAAGGTGTCTCAAAATAGCAGTTTCATTTTTATGTGTTTACTTTTTTTTTTTTTTTTTTTTTTTTTTTTTTTTTTTTTTTTGTGTGGGTGGTTGCTATTCTGGTTGTTTAAGAATATTCTGCAGCATGGAGTGTTGTTAAGCTAAGGAAAGATGTGATTGCTTCTCATTTTGTGTCCATATGAAGAAGCTGTGCTCCTCATTCCCCCCCAGTCACACTGGGATGAACCTGGAGTGGCTCTGTGTGCACCAGGGTGCACATCCAGATTTGCAGCAGTTCAAAGGAGGGTGAAATTTGGTCCCACACGTGTTTCCTGAAGCCAGGTGAAAAAACCCCACAAAACATTTATTGTATTGCAGTGGAATTGAAGGGACTGATCATACCAGGTGCTTCATGTGTTAATTCCAGCTGAAACTGGTGGGATCCAGGGCACTGAGTGTGGTGATGGAAATGGTTACTGTGCTGCAGGGCTGGGTTCACAGAGATTGGGAAGAACACTCCCAGTGTTTCTCCAGTGGGAAACACTTTCAGCTCCCAAGGTGTAAAATAGCACATTTAAGACATGCTTGCTGGTCAGATCTAGCAGCTCTGGAAAAGAAGCATGAGTCTCTCTCCTATTTTAAATGTAAAGTGACCTAAGCTTGTAAACTGGTCTAAACTTCCTTGCTTGTAACTTGTATTCCTTTCTTTTCTTGAGGCTTCTGCAGTGAAAGTGATGCTTGGGTTCCTAAATACCCTCCTTTGCCTTTCAGGCTTTAGTCTGATCTAAGGTTTTTCTGACATTATTCTTTTGTTTTCTCTTCCTTCCTTTCTTTGCACTCTCTCTTTTCTTCTTCCCGCCCTTTCCTCTTCCATCTGCCATTTTTCTTTTTATTTGCCTTCTACATAATTTTGGTTTATTCTTTTATTTTCTTCTTATTTCTCCCAGTTCCATAATTGCTTTAATTTCCTTCTCAGACTCCTGACAGCTTTTTCATTGTCCTGCCTAGGACTCTTCATTGCCCCACTCCTTGCTCCTCCACATTTTTTCCTTTTCATTTTCACGTTAGATCCTTTTTGCCTTTCTGTTTATTTTTTTCCCCAAAACCAGTAGATTTGTATGCACTGTGATTTTATAGCCCTGTCAGTTCCTCTTACCCATTTATCTGGTTTTAGTAAAGCCACATGATAATTTCTCTAGTTCTGCAAACCAAAGAAATCTTTCATGGTGGGCAAGTGTTGAATTTCTAACACTTAAAAAAATTCCCAAGAGAGGGCAGGGAGAGAAAGCATCTCACAAATATTGTTCTAAACCATCTTTATCCAATATCAAGAAACGATTAAAGGGCATAATAGAAGTTATTTTCCTCTTCAGACTTCCTGAGTGAAGGCGCTATTTGCTTACCTTTGATATTACCTCCTAAATTAGTCCTCAGGAAGAGAAGCATTTATGTCAAACTCCATGAAGTAGTGGATTGGGAACTAGGACAATCTGGGAATGCCTGGAGAAATCAGAAGAGACATTCTGTCTCATGAGTGGGTTGCTAGACTGACCTCCGGGAGGGAATGGCTTTTTGATCTGCTGTGTGGTGGAAAGTTGCTTTATAATCTTACACCTCAGTTTCTCCTTTTTTTCCTGTTTATTTGAACTGTAGGATCTCTAGGGCAGGCAGTGTTCCACCCCCTCACAATGTTTAGGATCATGAAGCTTGAATTTACATAGTTTTGTTACCCTAATAAAAAAAATGGAAATAAACCCCCAGAGAAAAATTATGAGCTGACCTTGTTTCAAGACATCTAGAATCCTAAAAAGTAAAATAAAATAGGAAAAAGCTTATTTGGGAACAAATAATATGATTTTTTTTTTTTAGTCTATAAATTGAGGGAAATACAATTGAAGTAACACTGATTTAAAAAAGGCCCCCTGCAGAGTGATAGCACTGTGCTCTGAGACTCTGCAGGAGAATGAGAAGCGCTGTGCTTACTCTAAGTAGCAGGGTGTGTGGGGAGTAACTGAGAAATGAAGACTGGTCCTATAAAAAGAAGGTATTGTTACTTCATAAAACCTTCTGAGAAGGCATGCTAATTATAGATTGTGACAGAAAATAATAGCAGGCTTTTGTCTTAGAAGCTGAAATCCTGATACTTCAGGTAAAATATCCTATAATATATGGTACAATTTAATGGTACACAGCACTTTGGGGTTTTTTTCACCTTCTTGATTTCCAGAATATTGTAAAAATTACCTAGGAGTTGTGTACTGTAGGTTGTGTGATATAATTCCCATTATAAATGTGAAATGAAGGCGAACACCTTTGCAGAATGGCTGGGTTTGCTTTGATAAGGACTTTTCCTTTGGAACAGCAACTCAGGGCTGCAAGGGGCAGCGGGGGGAGGAAATCCATGAGCACTTTGGGTCAGTGCCAAGGAAAGTTCTGCCACTGGGGGTAATTTTGTGTGGACAAGCTTTGCTGCTTGAATAGGGGCTGGGTCAGTCCTCAGTGTTTGGCCACCTGTGCCAGTGAAATATGGAGGGCTCATAGTTGGGGACAGACCTTTCTTTGACATCCACAGACTGCAGCTCATGCTGGGGAAGAGCTTCACCCTACAACACCCAGGCAGTCCTGGGTGTCCTTACTACTCCCACAGCAGAAGCCTTCCCTCTTCTTGCCTATTAATACATGTAGCATGTGACAGGACAATTACCAACGTTTGCTATCTGAAATGTCTGTCAAATCTTGCTGCTCTTAGAGCAGTTGACGATTGTGACAGTGCAAGACTAGATGTTGTTTATCATTCTAAAAGTAATTACTTTGGATGAATCACAAGCCTCTATTTACAGTTTATAGGACTGCCACTGGACAAAAGACCCCCAAAACCTCTTGAGTCAGAGAATTTCACAAAATTCAGTTCCTTACCAATTAACATTAACTTTCAGTTTTTAATTACAGTGTTGAGAAATAAAGATGAATGATTGAACAAGCATTTAGGGAAAAACCCCTTGGCTTAATTCTAGATATCTTTCCCCTTTCTTGATATGCAGCCCCCTCACTCCACATGGGGAGCTGGTGGGAATGGGATGAGGGTTGGTATGTTGAGATTCTCTTTCCTTTGCTGCTCCACATTTCTTACTCAGTGTCTCAGCATTGGCTTCAATCTCCTCCTTCTTCTCCTCCTCCTCCTTTTCTCTCATTTGCACAACCACCCTGTTCAGGTGGCTCCTCTCTTCTCACCTGCTTTTTTCCCTGTCTGTTGGACTGTAGTGATGTTCAGCTTGTGTTACTTTGATTAAAAAACCCTAACAGTAAAAGCAACTCAGTGAAGGCATGTGGAGACCCAAACTCTGTGTGAACCTGCTTTTGGTGGCTGTTAGCAGAATTCCCCTGCCATCCTTGGATTCAGCAGTGCCAGGAGGAGCTGGGTAAGCCAGGTGTATGGCATGCACACAGCAGGACCGTTCTTCCAAGGTTTCACTGCCTTCAAACAGTGCATCTGTGATGCTAATAAAGCATCAGGCAGATATGGCAGAATCACAGCCTGGGGCTCTTACAAAAATTGCAGTGAGAACGTGTGGGGCTTTAAAAGACTTTAGATTCAACTCTAATGTTATTCCAGCCTGTTTATGGTATCACTGCCACCAAGCTGACTTGGTGGCTGCGTTTAAACACCAGTATCTGGACATTTCTGGACAAAAAAACCTAACTAAAGCATACTTACAAATGAAGGAAATGTCTTTCAACTTTACTTGGGAGTATTTCTTTCAATCTTTCCCCAGACTGCCTTTTCAAGGTGTGTCCTATGAACAGATACTCAGCCCAGAAGCAGTACTGGAAAGCCAAGCAAGCCAAACAAGGAAACCATACAGAAGCAGCACTGCTGAAGAAACTTCAAGTAAGAGACATCTGTATTTGTAATCTTATCTCAATCTGCAGGCTGTAGAATTACAATAGCACCAGAAAGAATAATAACCAAGTGCCTTGGGAACCACCGTGATGGGTATTATTATGCCACCATAGCAACTCTATATTAGCTTTCCTACCTCCTGACTGGCATTTGTAGCTCCAGTTGTGGTGTTTATCTTGCTTTGGGCTGGGGGTTTTGCCCCTTTGCTGTAAGTAAGGTAGAGCTTTCAGAAATTTTATAAAGTAAAAATGGAGTTAAAATCAGGACAGAGCCCTGGTTTAAATAATGCTGGAAATCCTTACCAGGAATTAGGCAGAAGAGTGAACAAAGAGATGTCCTCAAGGCTTTAGCGAGGAAAATCCTCAGAATTGTGTTTGTCCTTGCCTTCAGTCTTTTGTGAACCCTTTTGCAGATTCTGTTTTGCCTCAAATATGGTGTGGATGGAGCAACTCCTCTGTCTCTGAAAAACAGCTGGCCTGATGTTGTAACTGAATGCATGAGATTAAGTGAAAACAAGGTCCTGTCAAACCTGGATGACAGTTTTGTGGGCAGTGGAGAGGTCACCAGTGCTTCCAGTTAAAAACAGCAAGGAAGGCACGTGGTGTGTGGCCAGAGTTACACAGTAATTAGTGCTGGGAGCTGAGAGTTTGCTCTGTGGCTGTGTTTGACCCAGTCTATTGTGTTTAATTTTAATATTGCCAATTGTGACCTACTGTTTTTGTTTTGAAGTCCATGTGTTTATGTACAATTAATCCTGAACAAGTAAAAGGAGTGGTGACAGAAGCTAATCATAGGACCTTTCTTATCCCCTACAGGATGAAATAAAGCACCTGGAATTACTTTTTGGGCTTGAAAATTTTTAAAATAGCATGCATCTCAGGTGTGACCCATAAATTGTGACAGAGTCCCTATTTTGGGTAATAAAAATATCAGAATCAGTGTCAGGATTTGGGTGCTAATATTTCCAGTGCAGTAATGCTTATAGATTGCAAGATTTGAATATGATGCCATTTCCTTTTTGCACGGTGTGTTTCAGGTTCTTCCTTTGTAGAGTCTAAAGAAATAATCATTCTCTTGCAGCATGCAGCAGAACTGGAACAAAAGCAGAATGAAAGTGAGAACAGGAAGCTGTTGGGCGAAATTGTGAAATACAGCAACGTCATCCAGGTAAACCTATTGAAATCCCTCTGTCTTCTCAGTGTTGGAAAGGAAACAGTTGTTTCATTTCAAGGTTGCAATGAAAATGAAACTAACTACCTGCTTTAACGTGGGTTGGCTAGGGTCAGGTAAACAGAACTTGGTGAAGTTTACAATAGTGTGCTTTTCTGCCTGTTTCAAAGCCTACCAGAAGTGCTGCAAATTCCTGTTTAAATAATATGTCATAATAAAAATTCTATGTGTATTTCTTGGTGCTGCAGTTTAGAATCTGAATGTAAATATGTATCTTTTATTTTCAAGACTTATTTCAAAATCATGCTATAGGGGTGCTGTGCAGCTCCTTTTAAATCATTGAAGTAATCTGTATTTCATGACATATAAATGAGACAAGAGCTAAGTTCTTAAGTGCAGTACAACTTTTCTGTAATGGATGTAATTCCTGAAGGGAACACTGCAGTGGACTCTTGCCCTGCTGTAGAATTGATTCCTGACACATTTCTCTCAATCTGAAATAGATCATCTGTTTTCCTGAAGTGTAGTATACTTTGATAAATGCTTAATAGTTTTATTTTGTATTTATATTTATTATAGAAAATCTCTGTAGTGTGAAAGCCTGTGCCTCCTCTTTTGACTGGAGGCAGAAAAAACAAATAAAAGCTGTACTAATTTTTTTTAAAAAATTATTCTTTGTTCCCAGCTACTGCACATAAAAAGCAACAAGTACCTCACAGTCAACAAGAGATTGCCAGCTCTACTAGAGAAGAATGCTATGCGTGTGTCCCTGGATGCTGCAGGGAATGAGGGCTCCTGGTTTTATATCCAGCCATTCTGGAAACTGCGGAGTGAAGGTGACAATGTAAGTGGAAATACTGAATGTGTTAAGAAGGAGAAGGGAGAAGAATTCCAGGAGATACAATTTCTTTGATGCAGACCTATTTCATAATGGATTCAGTTCAGGAAAGATGAAATTAGAAGAGTGATTAGGACTGTTACCTTTCATGTGTAACTAGAAAGTGTTACTAAATTATATGGTCTGGAATATAATGTGTTGCCACATTCAACCAAGCCTCTCTGTTAGGGCATCTTAGCTAAGTCTACCTTAGACTTATCCTACTTAAGACAATCTGTGTGCAGATTTACAAAGCAGACAAGAAATCATAGTTTATGCTAGAGTCTATTTTTTTAAAGATTTTTGGGTTTTTAAAATTTTTTGGGCAACATTTTTTTCAAAAGGTTGATAGAGAATGTCTCTAGGAAATATATCAGCTTTCTTTAAATCTATATTCCCTTCTGGAACTGGGTTGGATAGTCTGGAAAGTCTTTTCTGGGTAGGTTTCTGCAGGAGTCTTGCATATTGATGAGAGGAAGAATGCACAGGAGAGTTGTTTGCTGCAGATCTGAGAGCTGTGCCATGACATCACAACTCCCTTCTTCATTCTGTGGCTTGGTTAAGTGACTGATGTGGAGAATTCAGATCTGCCTCTGGGAAGGCCACACGATGATGAACTTGTGGGGTTTTATATTGTAGACCTGGCTGGGAATGTTTGGCTGCTTTCCCTCATGCATAATCTGTGAAAACCTTCATATGATTGTAGAAGGGAATGCCTCTTTGTTCATATATTTTTCTCTCATTAATTTTGTGGTTACCCAGCCCTTGGGATGCTCTCCAGGATGATGAGTGTGGTTGCTTGCAACTCCTTTTGCAATCTGTTGTGGAGAGGAGAAGGGTTGTATTCCCAGCTCCTGGTCAAATATCCCCAAAGTCAGAGTCTTTCCCTGCTCCACATAGTGATCCAAAGGGTATGTGAAAATTCTCCTTTTCCCCAAAGCCCAATGTGGAGAAATACAGCAAATATAGCTCTCAGGAGGGCCTCTGAGTGGCTTTTCAGTTGGGGAAAACAAATGTGGCTCAAACATTAGCTTGGTATTTTTTTTCCTTCTCTAGAGGGAAAAAAGGGTAGCTTATTGTTTTGGCTTAATTCCTTAGAATAACATCAGTTCAGCATCTTTTAATTTCTCATGCCTGGAAAATAAATATGTGTGTCATGCTCTCTCAAGGGAGAACCTGGGATTCCCACCTGTCTGCAAAAGCCACTGTGAGCCCTTACTGCTGAGAGCAGCAGAACCATCCCAGCCCTTCAAAGTCATCCTCACTGCTATAGAGATTTTCATTCCATTCTTCATTGCTGTGCACACACAAGGGTTTGGAAGCAGACTTGCTAATCTACAAAGATTGCAGATCAATGCAGCAATGGCAGGAACATCCCATTCCACAAATCCCTTTCCTAGTCTGTTCCATGTGGGGATTTACTTGGTAGGCTCTGAGCTGTGAGGGCCGTGTGGCAAACTGGCCAAGGTTTATTCCTAACTCAATGCACTCAGTTCTATTTTCTGCTCATTTTCTGTTTCCAGGTTGCCTTTCAGAGCTGGCAACTTGCCATTGTAATTTACAGAGGGAATTAACAAAGGGAAGTTGTTTCTTGTTTCTACCAGGCCCAAACAGATTTGACAATTTTCTTTGCAAATTTCCAGTGATAAACATTAGTCCTCTGGTAGCTCTCTCATGAGTGCTTTTGTACATTTCAACCTCTTCAACAGGTACACAAACCAGGCAGCTGTTTCACAGAGGACAGGAGTAGGAAGTGATGGGGGAAATCCTCATTTTCCTCTCACAGATGGAGGGAGGCTCCAGCCTTGTAGCCACTCCTTCCTTTTTAGCAACTCCCAGACATGGAAACCTTTCAATTCATGGAGCTATCTTGGTATATTAGGCCCTTACTTTGCTTAGAAATTTTGTTGTTTTTTTAAAAACTATATTTCTGTGCTATAATGAGGAAATTCCCTAAGAAAACATGTTTTAGAAAGTATTTTAAGCAATAGAAGTGAGTATTGAATTACTGCTTGGATGGCAGCTACCATGTCAGGTAATGCAGGCAAGGTAGAGCTAAATATGCCATATGTCATAAAAGAAAAGGAATCTGTGAATCTAATACAGGAAGTCAGGTGTGTGACTTCTCTGGTAAGCGATCACAGTTTTTCAGCCTTGTGAAATATTTTAGAACTTAGTTTTCTGAGAGAGGGTTAGCTTAGTTTTACTAGCAACTGATTAATTTTGCAAGTCAATGAAAGAATATGACTGAAAATTTACAGTAATTGGCATAACTAGAGTATTTTCTGCAGACTTTTATTAAGTCTTCATCATTTTTGAAGCTGCTCTTCAATGGAAGATAGGACTGATTAAGGCTAGAGCTGGTTCCAGATGGACTGAATAGCAAAGTATGCTCTGATAGCAGGATTGGTGCTGTGTGGATTGCACTGCAGTTATCTGCCATTTTGGTGTGGTGGTTCTTGATCGTTTTCTTTTTAATTTCTTTTTTTTTTTTAATTAGATGCTTAATGATGTGCTCTCTTACTGATTTAGTTGTGATAGTCCTGGTATACATGCAACCATTTTGAAGTCCTGATTCCACTTTGCAGGATGCAAACCTGGTGATATTTTGGTTAATGAATTGTCTGGTCATAACTTCTTAAAACAGGCTGTAAGTAATGTCTTTGTGAAGCATGGCATGAAGGAATGTATTGCATAAGAAATGTGTCTTACAGGCATCTTGTCATTATTTTGGTTCTGTTACTGAACTTGTTCCCATGACTTGGATCAAGTAGGATTTCTGTGTGTGATCTGAGCATGGTGGCACTGTCCTATGCTACTATTTATTTTAGCTGTGTTGGTAAAGAACAGGCAGACCTTCCTTTTCACCTCTGCAATGGGTGGGCCAAATTCACCTGCACTGAAGTTGTGCAAGGTTGAACTGGGCTCAGCTTTTTCACAGGAAAGGTGCTGATCAATGCAGTGTTTTTTGTTTATTTGTCTTCCAAAATAAAGCATGGCTTGTGCAGTATTTCATGTAGTAAAAAATCACATGTAGCCACTTGTCTTCATGTCTGTGTGTGCTCAAAATTGCTGTGAACAACATAAGCAAAACAGGACCTAGTGCCAACCAATCTATGTGGATTGATATTTTTTTATTGTTTATTGTTTTTCCCTTCCAGGCATGAATTGAATTCACCATATGCATGTCTCAAGCAGCTTTTAGGTTAAAGAAATTTTTGTATATTGTTTTGTGTATCAAAAGGAATTGCAAGGGCATTGGAATTTGCTTGCAGGTTGCCAGCCAGGAATTTCTCTTGTAGAGAGAAGGTCTCTCAGGTGTTGTAGCTGCTGCCTGTGGGGAGCCACACCATTTAGGGAGCCACAGCAGAAGGGATATGGAGTGTGCTCACCTCTTTCTGAATTTCCAGTGACTTCTGTGCCTTTCTAGGTTGCAGTCAGTCAGTCTGAATCACAGAACTCCTGAGTCTGTCAGGACATTTGCTAGCAGATGGTTCACAGAGCTGGGGGCTCATAATTACTTTGTAAGCTTTCTCTGGGATAAAGAGAACTTAATGTAACTTTTGGATGAACTGAGCTGCTTGTGGAATTCGTAGATTCATATATATTTCACGGTCTGGAGTTTCTGCTGAGCCAAGGGACATACTTACTGGGAACATGAGGGCTCCTTAGTGGGAAATCTAGAACCCAAGTGATTGCAGATCATGGGTGAACAGACCTACCCTGTGAGTTGTCTGCAAATAAATTCACCGAGTGCCATTCCTAGAGCATGCATTTGAGTAATTTTCTAAATATGCTACATTACTTTATTTTATTGGATGACTACATAGATCTAAACTGCACTTTATTTTTGACTTCCAGGTTGTGGTGGGAGATAAAGTTGTTCTCATGCCAGTCAATGCAGGACAGCCTCTGCACGCCAGCAGCATTGAGCTTCTTGATAATCCTGGATGCAAAGAGGTGAGTTCAGGGGGCAGGAGGGGTAACTGCTACTCTGAGATGGTTTTAGGAAGACTGATAGAATTGGGATTGTTCAGCCTGAAGAGAAGGCATTGGAGTGACCTCATTGTGGCCTTGCAGTACCTGAAGGGAACCCACAGGAAAGATGGAGGGAGACTCTTGACAAGGGCCTGGAGTGACAGGACAAGGGGCAATGGCTTCACACTGACAGAGAGGAGGTTTAGATTGGGTATGAGGAAGAAATTCTTCCCTGTGAGGTTGGTGAGGCCCTGGCACAGGTTGCCCAGAGAAGCTGTGGTTGGATGGGGCTGTGAACAAGCTGGGATAGTGGAAGGTGTCCCTGCCCATGGCAGGGGCTTGGAACTGAATGATCTTTACATCCCTTCCAACCCAGACCATTCTGTGATTCTTTACAGGTATGTAAAGAATGGTATGTTGTTCTTTACAGGTAACCAGAACCCACCATGGGCTCAAAGCCAGCATTAAAAACTGGTACCAGCTTAGCCTCAAAAACCCAAGACAAAATATCCTTGCTGAAGTGATGCCCAGGCACTAAAAACTCTGTGAGGTTTCCTTGAGTATCTCAAACTCTGACTGATGCGAGCGTAAATCCTCATTCAGCGTTTCTTTGGGGTGCTCTTGGTAGGCTGTCAGCAAACAGAGCAGCATTTGCCCACCCAGTCTTCTCCAACATTACAATCAATAACACTTGAGAACTTCAGAACCAATGTTAGGAACTGTACAGCAGGTAGCTTAGGCTATAGGTATAGGTATAAAGGTAAGTGTACAGCTATAGGTAGCTTAGCCATGTCCCCTGCCATCCTAGATGTGTGATTTTTCAGAAGAATGGAATGTCTAAAAAAGAAATTAGCATCCCCTATTACTATATTTTGGTCCTTTTTAATTTTTTTTTTTTTTATTTTTTCCTAAAGGTAAATGCTGTCAACTGTAACACAAGCTGGAAAATAACTTTGTTCATGAAATTCAGTAGCTACCGAGATGATGTACTGAAAGGAGTAAGTAAGATTTTTGAATTGTTTTTTGAGTTCAAAAAGTCTTACTGTATTTGACAGTAGAGAAATATTACCTGGTGAATAAAAGAAGAAATAAGGGCTTTATGGAGATTTTCAAAGTGATGTTACAGGCTTATAGTTGACAATAGCTGTAATAAAACAATGTAGCTTTACATACTGAGGTATTGAACATTTTCATGCCTGTAGATTAATCTCTGAGATAATTTATATTTTTGTTTTAAAAATAAGTTTAATTTGTCCTCTATAAATTTAATTTGTACCTTAATAAATCATTATCAACTGGCTATTTTTCACTCGGTGTTAAAGTGCCAGCAGTTTTTGAAGAAGAATTTGAAAGGAAACATTGTATATTTATGTTGACCCATTTAAGGGTAGTATTTCAAGTCTTGGGGAGATGCAGGAGGAGACAAAAATGGTTCCAGCAGAAGTAGAGAGGGGACATTGGTGTTGATTGCTGAGTAGAAGAGATAAGATAATACAATGTTAGAAAAATCTCTTTACTTCCCTTAAATAGTAAGAGAGATTAGAAATGAGAAAAACAGTTTAGTAAAGTTAACTAGAATTAAAAATCACCTTTAGGTTAATTTTTGCCTGCTATTCATTGTGGTGCTTTCCCAAAAGGCCATGGGTCTCCTGCAGGACTGAATTATCCCATCTGATTTCCAGACTTGGTGCTAAGATTGAATGCTTGGTACCTACTCCAGCAATAGGAAACTCAGAAGTATTTTTTTCCTATCAGCTCTGCTGGTTTCACTGGAGCTGTTACAAATAGAAAATGAGTCTGGTGGCTTTGCCTACCACTTAACAGTGCTTCCTTTTTATATTTCTTTAGGGAGATGTTGTGAGGCTGTTTCATGCAGAGCAAGAGAAGTTTCTGACCTGTGATGAATATGAGAAGAAACAACACATTTTCCTCCGCACTACGTTACGTCAGTCAGCCACGTCTGCAACAAGTTCTAAAGCACTGTGGGAAATAGAGGTATTTTTTCTCCTTTTTACAAATATTTTAGGACTTGAAGGCCAGGGTTCAGTAAGAAAACTTCACCACAACATGAGTCATTCATAGGCTCCTGATATCATCACACACCTCCCTGTAACTATTATTATTTCATGAAGCAGTTTGTGTAGGATGAGCCCTGGAGAGCTGCTTTATTGCTCTGTGTGTGTGGAGATAGGAGGCTTTCTTACTATATTTACCTGCACTAAAATGAGGAAGAGTCAAATTTCAAATTCAGACTTGACGTAAATGGTGTGATTTTATCAAAGCCAATCAAAGGACACTCACCTCTCCTGAGTTTTGAGTGTTTACGTTTAACTTCATGTGCAGTATAAAAAAATGGGAATCCATGGCCGACAGGAAATCTTCCAAACATCACACAACACATCAACACTTGTTTAAAGTTAACCTGAATAAAGGTGGTATTGTGAATGGGGATGATTTTGAGAAGGGAACTAGCAAACATTTTTGTTCAACTAAGAAACATTGCAAATTGGTAGGTCTCAAATCCTTGCTGTTTCAGTAATGTAACTCCTATACCCAAAAGTTCTTGTGTGATGAACAAACTGCATTTAGAACAGTGTCTTCAGAAAAAATGGTTAATTTTTATCTGGTTAAGTATTGTCCAGAGTAGAGTGTATTGCACTTGTACTTACTGGAGATTTCTCCTTAAAGGAGACAGACACTGCTAGATTTGAAGAAAGCAAATGACCTACAGCTCAGTCAGGGGCTAAAATAAATAACCTGTGATATTTCACATGATAAGAGGATATATCACTTGAATGAAAATTGTTCAGAAGCCCTTAGAATTGGGCTAGAATCTATATCATAGAGCTGGTATAATAGGTAAAATAGTGTAAGACGGTTTGAATTTTGCTTTTAAATAGTGTCTAGTAGTGTAGAACATCTCTCCTTACTTTCTTGAGCTGAAGATTCACACCATGTCACTTAAAAGCAAAAAAACATGACTCACCATGTTTGCAGGAAATAGATTAATGAAAGCATGGAAAGTAATAGAAAGAGTATTTCCTGGCACTTGGCAAAAAGTAAATGTAAGCAGTGGTTATCTATGGTGAGCTTCATGTAAGAACAGAATTCCTCTCTTTGGCAGGCTGTAATGATGTAGTTTGTGTATTTTTATTAGGAGTAAGCTGCAGGAAATGTCAGTGGTCTAAAGTATGATCTTGAGGAGCATGATTAAAATCTAAATTCTTCTTTTAGGTTGTCCACCATGACCCTTGCCGGGGAGGGGCAGGACAGTGGAATAGCTTGTTTAGATTTAAGCATTTGGCAACTGGAAACTACTTGGCGGCAGAGGTAAGAATGCCAATTAAACAAGTGTTTGTGTGCTGCTTAACCAAGTCCTGCTGGTTCAGAACTGCTGTAGCAGGTGGGTCTGCATTGGAGAACTTCACAAAGATCCCACACTGGGCCCCTGCTGGGTCACACTGTACTGTTGCACCCAGGGATTGCAGGGCAAACACCACTGTTAAATATCCACACATTTATACTGAAAACCCTTGGGTTCATTTATCTCTCTGCTCCTCTTTGCCCTTGATTTTTGGAATGGTGTTTTGACTCTGTATTGGTGTCATGTGAGTTCATTATGATTATATAGGCTGCAGTATAGTTCTGCTGTGCACTCTTGCCTTTTGACTAAAATTTGAATAAAAAAAGACCTGAGGAAGTCTCTGCCCTTTGATGGAATGGAAGGTCCCAGAGGAGAAGGAAGATCTTGCAACTTGTATGGTTATTATCTGGTACTCTGTATTAAGGGAAAAGAGTATTGTGACGCCCCAAAAGAGCAGTTTAAGATCTTTTAAGACTCCTTAAAAATGAAATATGGCTCTTGACAAGCTGGAATACAGCAGATAATACCAAGTATGTGAAATGGTACAGCCTTGGATATTTTGATGGTTGCAAGAAGCTGTGAACTTTTTTAGTTGTATTTAATCCGTATTAACACAGGTCTGTGTCCAGGCTTTATCAGTGGCATGAAAAGAAAGTTTTTTTCCCACTGATTTAGTTAGGATTGCCTAATTTAACTTATGCTTCAAAGTATGAGTGCACAAATTTACTGCAAGAAGAAAGTTATAAATCACTGTATGTTAGGGAACCCCTGAAAAAAGATTTCTCTGACTGGGTTGAGATAGATTTACAGAACTGCAGCTTCTGTATGTAAATGACTGCTTGGTATTCCCAGGGTGCTGCTTTAATTTTCTAGCTTCTGTAACAGCCTGTACTGAACTCATTGGAAGAATAAACAGGAGCTATCAAAAGTTCAAGCTAATTTTCAATAGGCAACCAGTACTCCCACTGGAGAGTGGGAGTATTTTCCTTTCTTACAGTGAGGGATGCTCCCAGTAGGAAGGTTTTACTAGCTGATGGAGAGTCAGGAAAGGCACTGAGCATACTGATGGGCATCCTTCTCCCACCAGATGATCTGTCTGGGGGATTTTTAGGCAAAAAATCTTCAGGTGAAGAGGTGCCACACTGCACTGAATGTCAGACCTGAGCTTAGGTCCTTTCTACCTCTGGAAAGGAAATCCCCATCAGGCAGACTTGTAATATGGAGAATATAATTGACAACAGCAGAGTAAGAGCTGGGAGAGCTTTTGGGTTGAACAGAGGTGATATGCTGGGACTGGAGAGCTGCATTAGTGACTGGAGAGCTGTATTAGTGACTGTGTCCGTGAGGTGTAAAATACCTGTGGTGGAGATATTCAAGGTACTACTGCAATAAAACCCTGTGAACTCTATTTTGCACAGTTCATATGTCAGGCACAACACACCAGCCAGCCAGACACGTCAAAGATTTATGAACAGGCAGGCAGACACTTCTTGTGCGTGACCTAACTTTAAATCAATTGGGCAAAGCCTACTGAACACTTACTTATCTGTGCTCTGGCAGCACAGGGAGATTACTCATGGTATGGATTATCAACAGTGTCACACGTTGTCATGACCTGATTTTGTTTAAGCCTCCATGATAAAGATATCCAGAGTGGAATAAAAAGTATGAACACAAGAAGAAAATTCACAAATCTTTTAAGCATTCTGTTGTTGGCTAATGATGCAATTTCTGTCACAGTTTGAGCTGTTGTAAGTCAGGATTCATCACTGTTTATAAAACTGTCTTTTTTCTTACTTCATCCTCCCTTAAATCAACTTGATGTGTGCCATGGAGGCTTCTGCAGGAGAGTCTTGCATGGTCAACTCTCAGACAAGGAGCAGGAGTGTCCTTCACCTGGGTGCCTCCCTTTTCTCTTTTCATACCCTGTGTGAGCAGCCTGTGTCTTCTCTTTTCCTTGGAGTTGTCCTGTGCTAGATGTAAGTGGTCAGTCTAGTTTTTGATTTGGTGGGTCACTACTGAGCCATGTTGGAAAGGGATGCCCCTGCAGCTTGTTAAGGCCAGGGGATTATCTGGGGACTATGAAAATTGGAGATGCTTGCCTCAGAGAACTAAGGAATTTAAAGCTCATAAAGATGTTTCACTACCACAGTAAGAGAATTAGTTTAAAAAAAAAAAAAAGAAAAAAAAAGAGGCAATACCATTGTTCAGTAAAAAAAAACATAGGTGAGTACTTGTAAATCTAATTGTTATAAATTTGAGAGGATGAAGTCAGGATGTGTAAGTCCTAAATTCCATGCTCCTTAGAAGTACAAAGTACAATCAGTCTAACTTTTGTTGCCCTTCAAAGACCTCTGATATCTCTGACTTCTGACACAGTCTCAAGTAGTAGTATTTCCTTTAATCCTCTTTCCACTTGGCATTATTTAGCCTAATTTTAATTACTGTGCTTTGAAGTTCTTAAAGACCTCCTAATACCTTAAAGCAACCTAGATCCTTCTCCCAGACTTTGGGCTGAAGGTGAGCCACCCTGAAAGACCCACTGGTGAAGGAGCCACAGTGGGAGACACTTGGTGATTCCACACACCTGCATTGCCATTCTTCTGCTGCTCTGCACACCCTGGGTCACTCAGAGTGTCTGTGTGCTCTCACACAATTACTTAGGACAGAGGAGGAATAAACACACTGAAGAAAGGGTTTGGTGTTTGGTGATAAGATTTGGGACATTGGAAATCTGGGTACTTGGTAATGATATCTGACATTAGGAAAGCTTAAGGCACAGGCATAGACATTCCCAAAAAAGTAGAACCAAATACTCAGCTGAAAAATTGAAAAGAGAAATTGTCTTCTTTGGAGACAGCGGGAATTCTGCTATTGATGTCATAAGGGCTTGTTTTCACCCAAAAGAGCTGAGCCAGATCTTCAGCACGAGATTTAGGCACTAAGCCACCAGCTAAGATCCAGTCTGCTGAGTTTCATTCTCAGAACAGAGTTTTATTCTCATCTTCACAGAGTCAGCAGTCTTTTAGAAGAAGTTCTGCAGAAGATCCTTTTTATAGCCCTGGTTACAGCAAAATGACCCAAGTTATTTTGAAGCTTTACGTTTATAAAGAGAGGCTGTAAGGTCAGGTGAAAATTGGAGGTTTGAAAGTATCAAAGATTTCCCCAAAAGTCTTTTCAGTGCATGTAGCCCATGTAGAAGGCACCCAAAGCTATCTGTGTGTGTGTGGGAGTGAGCTGCAGTTTGCTTGAACAGCCTTGCAGATGCTGCAGGTTGGGACCACACAGCTGTGCCTTTCTCATGAGCTATCGTAGCCTTTTCAATATTCTAAATTGCCAAGATAAAAGTCTCTTTGGACTGAATATCAGCTTATCAATTGTGCTGAACCAAAACATGCACTTTTAATATTGTTCTCCACAAGCATAGCAGCTCTGATTCTGTGATTTCTAAGCTGGGCAATTCATACTGAAACTATTAACACTTGTTTTATGAGTCTGCTAAACAGATATGTGTGCCCACACGCAAGTCATGCAGGATAAGTTTGTCATTTCATATTCAATTTCTCAGGTGTGGCTGAAATAATTACAAAATATATCTGCATCTATCAAGTCACGTGCTGGTCTCAGATATTGCAGTAGACAACAGACAAGCTGCAGTATGCTGCTTGTGAAACCTTGTGAGCATGTACATAATCACGTTGCAGAATTTGTAAGGAAAAATCTGTTTTACTTGTTGAATAGAGTAGAATTGCTAGGTACCTTGGCCAAAATATGGCAGTAAATCTTGTGAGGTCTTTAATAATAAATTTGCTCTACTAAACTCAGTGAATTAAGATAAGGCAGGTAAAATGGCAGCCTGAATGTTCACATTCTGTGCTTCTCCAGAACTGTGTCCATAAACAATTACTGCTGTGAAAAACTTGTCTGGCTTTCTTACAGAGTTCTCCTTCCTCTCTCTGTAAGAGTGAAAGGGCAGGGTTTAAGCCGTAAAATGGATCAGCTCTGATCAGAGTTTTGTTCTAAACTCTGTTCTTAAAATCCCACATAAAACATCCTTCCAGCTTTAGGATTATTTTAGCACTAAATACTCAGTGGAATTTCTTTTGAAGGTAGGAATGATTGAATTCAGTTGGGCTGAGCAGCACACACACATGAGATGAAATGACAATTAGGTGCATGTTAATTGAACAGGAAGTCCAGTCCAAGTTGCCAAGGCTGTAGTTCAGTTGTGGAGCACTGCAGGGGCAACACAGGCTTCAGAGATGTCCTTTTCCTCAAGCACTGGATCGTGCAGATGTAAGGTGCTGTCCCTGAGGTGTGTTGGCATGGACTCCAGGGCATGGGGAAGAGGGAATAGTCTGTGTTGGTCGCTGAGCTGAGGCACCAGAGCATGAGTGTTTTGGGTGGGTTAGCAGGGACTGCTGAAGCCTTGCAGGGCTGTCAGCTGTGGTGTAAACCACTTGCTGAGAACTCTTGGATCAATGGCCAATAGAAGTTATTCATATTTCTCTTGTCTTTCTTGAATAATTTCTTCCCCTATTACATCATTCTACTTTTCTGTCAAAACTGCCCCAAACTGCCCCTTTCTTGGCAGAGAAGGTTTTGTACATTATTCACTTTAAATTGAGAATCGCTGTTAAATTTTGCTTTTACAGTCCATGGCAGGGGGTTGGAACTAGAGGATCTTTAAGGTCCCTTCCAACCCAAACCATTATATGATTCTGTGATTAAAAATATTAGCCTGCCATGTTATTGATATTGTTGTGGTATGCATTTATGCAGATGGACAGGGCCATACCCTTCATATTTAATTTAAGCCTGTTGTAATAATCACTTGATTTGGATCACAGTAAAGATAGCTGAGTACACACTCAAGTTAATACTGAGAGAAAATAATCCTCTCCTGCTTTCTGAATAGTAAAGATTGTCACAAGAATCCCACAAGAATAGAAAATAAAGAATTTAA